AAATTGAATTCTACTAAAACCAAATCAAACTAATAAGAATCACCTGAATCCAAGAATCCTCTGAATCCAAGATTCACTTGAATCAAAGAATCACCTGAATCCAAGAATTGCCTGAATCTAAGATTCACTTGAATCAAAGAATCATTTAAATCCAAGACTTACCTGAATTCAAGAATCATCTGAATCCAAGAATCATCTGAATCCAAGAATTCACTTGAATCCAAGAATCATCTGAATCCAAGATTCACCCAATAATCATCTGAATCCAAGAATCACCTGAATCCAAGAATCACTTGAATCCAAGTGAAAAGGATTGAATCCATCAAAATCAAACAAAAATGGAAAGTTAGGAAATCTTAATCTAAGTGAAAAGAAATTAAGTTCTCCTAATTCCTTCTAAATCCTCCTAAATTCTTCTAAATCCTCCCAAATCCTTCTAAATCCTTCTAAATCAATCCAGAAAAATTGAAATCAATCCAGTAGGATACTGAATGAATTCAAGTGAAGCTAAAAGGAAACTGAGTTTCATGAAATCCAACTTAAAAAATGAATCCATTTTGATCATTCAGAAAAACAAAATTTATCCAAATCAAAATAAAAATAAATTGAATCCATCAACAGACTGAAAAAAAAACTGAATTCATCTAAATAAAACTGAAAAGAAATCGAATGAAACCAAATGAGACTAAAACAAAATGGAATTTGCCTAAATTAAATTGTAAGGCAACTGGATCAATCCAAATAATACCTAAAATAATTCAATCCTTTCAAATCAAACTGAAAAAAATTTAATTTGCAGAAATCAAACTGAAAATAATTGAACCTATTGTTAGGAATAATTTAGAGTGTTCTCCCTTTGTTTCATTACTTTCCTCTTTGAGAAAGTTATTTCTGTTTACTGGGACTATAAAAGGACACTATATGCGAACCTTGTATTCTCAGTTGAATAAAGCCTTCTTAAAGCCTACATCTGCGTACTTTTGTCATTACACCTATCCAAATGAAATTAAAAAATTAAAACTACCTAAATCAGAATAAAAAATAATTTGATTAAAATTAAAAAGAAGAGAATTTAAATTTGAAATTAACTCCAATTGATGATAACAATGAGATTAGCCATTTCCATACAGTAAACATTAGACATTCATTTAGCATTTAGCATTATTGTATTTTTTTCCAAACACTTTTTTCAAGAAAATGGGAGTCTGATGTCCACTAAATGTTATTGCTCTTTCTAACCCTGAAAGGAGTTTCTTTTCTAACCATTTGTTTATGGTAGCGTGGAAAGTCAACATCTTTATTTACCCCTTCAAGTTACATGTGCTATTCATTTTAGTTGTTGCTAATGTTGAAAGTCTTGAAGTGATGCTGTTTTTGTTATTTGGTAAAGCCTTCATGATTTTGTAGCAGCAGTCTGATGAAGTGTTGTCTTTTTAAGACCTACAGCTTTCCTTCATCCAAACCTATTTTTAATCATTGATCTGAGAAAATGTTTGTATATAACTGATATTCTAGACATTTTTATATAAGTTGGACACCATAGATGACATCCATATGAATATTTAGGTCATGTGAGGCTCTGAACATGACACCTGTCCTTCTTTACAGCAATGAATGTTTGACGATTTCCTCAAAGATGAAAAAAAGACATCAGGTGACAGAGATGTAGTTCTACAGAAGGATGCTAAGGATATCATAAACTGAGTGGCTGAGCAATGATGAGGTTTTAGAGATTTTGCAAACAGGGAGGAGGCTTATATTATTTTTTTAATCATCAGGAAGAGACAGCTAAAGTTTTTAGGACACATAATGAGGAAGGAGGGCCTGGAGAATCTGATACTCATGAGTTGAATAAAGGGAAAGAGAGACAAGGGAAAACAATATGTGACATACCTGGAAGACTTAAGCAAGTGGATGACAGAACGTGGTCTCGGGGAGGAAGCAGAGGGAAGAAACTTGTTGAGAGCTGCAAGGGATAGAGGGAGGTGGAGAGCCATGATCCCCTATGTCATGAAAGGATATGGCACATAAAAAGAAAGAAAGAAAGAAAGAAAGAGGATATTTATGAGCATGACTAGAGTTCATTGGTTAATATTATGTTTTTGTAGCATTTTGGGATGTTAGATGAAACTACCTTTGATGCAGCCTATCCTATGCTCAATTTGCTTATCTCTTGGAATTCTGCCAAACTGACAAATCGCAATGAAATTAAATTAAATTAAATACATCAAAATGAAAGAGAAAAGAAATGTTCATCCAAATCAAACAGAAATTGATTAAAATTCATTCAAATTAAACTTTATAAAATTCAATCTCTCCAAACAGAATAGATATTGAATTCATCCAGATCAGTCACTGAAAAACTGAAATCACTCTTAAATCACAGCAAAGAACCAAAAACGAAAATTCAATCTATCCAAACTGAATATAAATTGGATCCATCTGAATTAAGCTGAAAAAAATTTGAATCCATGCAAATCAATCCCTCAAAAAACTGAATCCATCTCACAGCAGCAGAAAATAATTAACTCCATCAAAATCAAACTTAAAAGAAATGGAATATATTTAAATCAGAATGAAAAAAAATATTAAACTGATCCAATTAACATGATAGGAGGCTGGATGAATCTCAAACTGAAGTGGAAAACTGAAAAACCCATGGAAATCCAACTGAAATGACATTCATTATATCCTCAATAAACTGAAAAGAAAATGAATCCATCTAAATCATATTGAAAAATGCTGAATCCATACAATTCAAATAGTAAATAATTATCTTAAGAATAGAAAAAGAAGATAAAAATGAACAAATCTAATATAAACAATTATCATGACCAATTTCCCAGAATTCCTATCATCTATGGCATTTTGGGCTTGTAAAATCAGTCTTACATTCAAACCTCATTCTTAAGTTATTTTTCTAAAGCCAGACAAGTTGTCATAACTGACTCGAAAAAGCTTTGATTAAAAGAAAAAAGATGCCTGTCTTCTGTGGAGATATTTTCAAGGATAAAACTTGGCTTTTCATGGTGATATTTTTTCTTTTTCATATATGATGTTCTTCCGTTTCTCTTATTTTTTTTCATTCTCTATTTTTTTTTTAGCTGAAAACCATGTTTATTGTTTACCTCTATTTGATGCATGACCTTCTACTGCCTTGACCTTCGGCATGCTCTTGAAGAAAACAAGTCTTCGAAGTGCAGAATGTTGTTATGTGTTCAGTTATGGAGACATTTTCACAATATATATTTATTGGTAAAATTAACTTCTTGAAGAATGAGGCAGTTTTTCCTTGACTCTCTCTATTTTTTCCTTTCTCCCTCAATATTTCTTCGACTCTCTCTATACATAAATATCTACATAATTTTTCTTTGTTGCTTTTTTGTTTAATCATTCTACCCACAAGGAAAATGATAATGCCACTAAGACACTAAGGTTATTGAGTGTGAAAGAAAATGAGAAAACATTAGTAAGGAGAAAGGACAATAAAAGAACAGGAATTAAGAAGGCAGAAGGTAGAAAGTGATCTTCTGGTTAAATTTTGGAAGATCATAGTTGAGAGAAAAGCAAGAAGCTGGAAGAGAGTGCCACAGGTGAGAAGTGTGAGAAAAACTATTAGAATAGAACTTATAGATAGATCTAGATATTTCAACTATAAAATGATGAACCCTAGTTGCCAATCTAGTACTTGGCTTAATTTCATGAAGTCAAGGTCTTGAAAAGGAAAGGTCATTAGAACAATTGCCATGAAAATATTTATAAAAAATGAGTTGAAAGCTGAGATGCCAGGTCAGGACCATTAATATTGTAGATTCTTCTTTGGGTTTTCCTCAAGAATTTTGAGATCTATAACAGAAGCAACAGATTAGATCGAGTAGCAATATTCAATGTCTGGGTGAATGAGACATTTATAAAAAATGTAAGAAATATTGTTTGATACACGTGTGTGTATATATAATGTGGGTGTTTATGCATATAAAGTTAAAAGACAATAGGAAAACTGCATTATTAGCCAACACATTTTGTCCAATGTGGACTTTTACAATGCAAAAATGAAATGAATTTATTAAAAACAAAGTAACTATTAACAACAAACAAAATGTCCTTAGCAACTAGAAGAATTTAGAAAATGCTATTGTATACATATTGTCAACTGAAAAGTACTTTCACTGTAGAAATATTGTTTTTATTGTTGTGTTGAGGGATTCAATCATTTTCTTTTGATTTCTTGATATAAAGTTAAAGTTCACATCACTTATCTATGTTCAATTAAAAGCCCTGTAAGAATATTTTATTATTTGACAGAATATATATTTACAAATGCTTATTAAATACACTAATTTTTTTAATTGTCTATACTCATAAATAATAATCCCATAACAATATTACAATTATAAATATATATTCTGTCAATAATACTATATTCTTGCCTGACTGTGAGGAGCAATAACATCAATTGACTTTTAAGTGGTCACAATTAAGTACCGTGAATTTCCTATTTATTGATAATAATTATCACTTTAGTTATCTATTAGGCATACTTAGGTTAAATTATGGACACACACGTATCTGCTGAGGCCTGTATATATATATATATATATATATATATATATATATATATATATATATGTATGTGTGTGTGTGTGTGTGTGAAAAATTAACAGGATATGTGCAAGAAGACTTACCAAGTCATCTTCCTATATATACATATATATATATATATATATATATATATATATATATATATATATATATTTAGTTGGATAGATGTGAGTTTGTGACCTTGGGGGGTGAAACCCAGGGTCACAAACTCACATCTATCCAACTAAATATGTTAGCTCTATCTCTGATATTGAGCGCTTAATAAGTACTATGATATAATATATAAATAATTATACATATATATATTTATTTATATTTATATACACTTTTTACATATATATATATATATATATATATATATATATATATATATATATATATATATATATATATAAAACCACAGAGATAGAGAGAGATAAATAGATAGATAGATATAAAAGACAGTCGACAGACAACTGTAGAGCAGGGCTGCTTAAGATATTTTTCTGTCCTTCATGAGGGCTAAGAAAATATCTATATTATATATAAATACTTGATAGACGATTAGGCTTTAAACTCACACTCGACCTCAAGTGGAACTCATACATATGATCCATCGTAAAAAAATGGAGAAAAAATGATTGGCTCTCTGTACCACTCCAGTAATTACCTGACACCACATACTATCCTCTACCTTTACAAGAGCCAGATCAAGTCTAAAATGAAGTCCTGTTGTCATATTTGGGTGTGAGCTGTACAGTTCTCACTTTCCAGTCTCACTAGAGCCCAAAAGCATCTCTGAATCCATGTGAATGACAAATTATTTTCCACTCTTTCCCACAGAAGGGATATGCAAAGCCTCTCACTACTCTATTACTATTTCCATGGAAAGTCCTCAGATAAATTACATTCCTTGGTACGGCCAGGTCAAACCTTCATGGCTGGGATCCGTCATATCATTTATATTGTAGCACCCACATTCCTTCTGTATTAGATTGGTGAAAAGTCAGTTTAACTTGAACAGCTTCTACTTGTGAAGTACTGCTCTGTGGAAATGACTCTGAAGAGGATGTTTATCCAATCACTACAATCTTAACCTGTTCAAGTCTAAAGTTAACCATTATCTTCCTCTCCTATCTGTATAAATTGTCTCTTAATTTAATCCTCTGCATGGAGTGGCCCCTGGGCTTTGTACAGAGTGAACCTTATTGTTAAAAAAAAGAAAATGAAATAAAGAACATATTTTAAATTTCTGTATGCTCCTGAAAAATTATTTCGGTTGAGCTCTCTGGGGAGAAAGTGTGGGTTTGTAAACAGTGACTATTACGGCTAATAATGCAAGACTATTCGGTAGATTGAATAGAGTTCTCTAAATCACTGTGTGTTTATCTAAAAATAAATACGCTTATATTCACCTTCATCCCTGCTGTGCGCCAATGGCTTAGTGGTAGAATCCCTGACTGACACCAATTCAGTTGGGTTTCAATCCTAGATAGAGGCATCATCATCTCATCTTGCAGCCTCAACTGAGATTGAACTCACCAATACTTTGATTGGTGTAGTTCATAATCTTGTCAAATCGCTGAATTCTTGATGCTTCACTAGGGCTAGTGTTTTTTTTTATCGTGACACCATCACTAGATGGATTGCCAACCAAGGCTCAGAGAGACTCCATTCACCCTCCTCTAAGAGCTGGTTTGAATTCAGAGTTTTCCTTCTCCTAGACCAGTTGCTATCCAAGGCTATAGAACCCAGTCTGTCCTGCTACTTACCCATAGCTGGTGGGAGAAGAAGTGGATTCATACCTTTCCCAAGGGTATTAGCATGTAAGTGAATGTAATGGATTCAACTGGAATTCGAACTTGGCTCTCCGATTACTCCACCGTGCCTCCAGACTAGAGGCAACCAGACGTCTAGCCACACTGATGAGCTGTGAAACAGTTTGTGGATAACAATATATATATATTTTTATGTGTGTGTGTGTGTGTGTCTATATATGGGTCTTGTACAGGATGAACCTTACTGTTGAAAAGGGAAAAGAACATTTTAAATTTATGCAATATATATATATATATATATATATATATATATATATATATGCAGTTGCATAGATAGTAGTTTATAATCCCGGGTTTCATGTTTTCGCAATCTTCAAACTGGTTTGTTTTTTCAAAAGTAGATCTATTTATACTTTATTTGTGTTTAAGGATTTGTGTGTAGTAGATTGAACTAACATGCATATGCCTGTATGCATGTGTATCTATGTATACGTGAGTGTCATCTGAAACAAACTCAGAAAAAAATTTTTTCCCCACTTCACCACTCGCAAATAATCAAACACAAATAAAACATAAATAGATCCACTTTTGTAAAAACAAACCAGTTTTTCTTAAGATCACGAAAGCGTGAAACCCGGGGTTACAAACAACTATTCATGCAACAGCATATATTAGCTCTATCACGGATACTGAGCACTTTCCACTAAATACCACACACACACACACACGCACACACAAATATATATATATATATATATATATATATATATATATATATAATATATATATATAATTCATGGTTTATACTCTGTATATAGTTTTAGTATTTAAAACAAGCTGATTGTTAATGTGTTACAAAACAAATATTAGTTCATGTTTGTAGTTTTTATTTTAGTATTATTGATTGACGTATTGACATTATTGATTTACGCCAGGGTATTTTCATGCTGTCGTTTTGAACCAGAGTGATTCAGTGTTAATGATTTTTGGAAGTGTATTTTAATTTAATACACTTATATAAGTGTATTTAAGTGTTACTCATTTATGCAAGTGTAGTGAAGTGTTATTGATTTATTCAAGACTATGCAAAATGGGATAATTTGGATAAATTGCTATAATTACATGTTTCATTTGTGATCTGGTATGATCAAAAACAATGTTTTTTCTCAAAGAACGAAATCTACTTTACCAAAATGAGATATGATCTTTGTAAAGAAACAGGATTTCTTAATTTTTCCTTTAACCCTTTCATCACAGAAGTTTGTAGCAAAATATGGCCTAAAATTATTAAATATTGATTGATTGTATTTTTCTAGTTTATCAACCTTTTGCAGGTTATTCAAAACCAGAAAATATTTTCAGATTGAAATAATTTTTTGTGGATAATAATAATTTATTGATACAAGTCCTACTAATTAACCCATAGCTTGGAGGAGAGAAGATGTGCATTTATATCTTTCGCAAGGGTATTTATGCAGAAGTGAATCTAAAAAATTAGACTGGAACGGAAAATTGGTTCTTTGATTTCCAATTTGCAGCCATTATCCATTACATCACCTACATTTCTAAGCTTACAGTATGCAATATTCCCAAGAGGTCACCCATCTAGGTACTAACCAGAGTCAATGTTGTTTAACTTTAGTGATTATATGAGAACTGGTGTTTCAATGTGATATGGCCATAAGCTTCTTATATTGCCCATATCCTGAAGGGAGAAGGGATTTAAAAAAATGAGAAAATCTAAGTTAACCAAACATTGTGACACCTGGTATTCCTAAGCAGTTACCCATCTTTGTACTGACCAATGACGTTGCTTAACTTTGGTGATTATGAGAACTGGTGTTTCAATGTGATGTAGCCATGAGGCTATATATTTTAGTTCAGTCAAAATTGTTATTCGCCTGGAAATATGTTCTCCCTACAAAAATAGGACACAAACTGTGTTTAGGTAAAAAATTGAATTCCATTTTAATAATATTTCCACAGAGACTCATCCTATGGGACAATAGCCATTGGTTTGTAAATTTGGTGACATAGTAATTGTGAGTTCAATCTCTGGTCGAAGCAATGATTACTTGGACTCAGTAAAAACAGGGTGAGCAATAACTGAACAGTATGCTCACAGGTCGAACAGAAGGAAAGAGAGGGGAAAGTAATGCATGACATACTTACCAGGCTTAAACAAGTGGATGACAGAACATAGCCTCAAGGAAGTAGCAAAGGGACAAAAGTGGATAAGGGGAAGGTGACTGCTATGATCACCAAAGTCCTGAAGGGACATGGTGCATAAAAAGAAAGACTAAAATTAAGACATGGTAGTGAAACGAGAACAGTCTGCCCTCACAGATAAATAAAGGGTTCAGTTTAGAATTCCCTGTAGGTTACCTGGATTGATATACACCTGATGAAGGCTGGCAGGCACAATGGCCGAAACACTGTAAAAACAACAAAGGTCAGGACAATAGTCTGAATGTAAATAGTGTAAATAAAAATAATATTTGTTGTGTAAAATTAATTTTTTTTTCATTAATCTATGTGCAGATGATACAGCATTTATAGCAGATATAGAAAGAAAACTACAAGAACTCCTACAAAAGGTAGAGAAGGAAAGCAAGAAGAAAGGACTAACCATCAATTACAAGATGGTAGAATGCATGCTTGTCAGCAAAAGGAACTGCCCAGTATGCAAATTACATATTGGAGATACCAAAATCAAACAATGTAAATATCTAAGAAGTGTTTTAACAGAGAACAGAAAGTGTGACACTGAAATCTGAAAGGTGGATGGGGATAGTGAAAGAAGCTTTCCAAAATCTAAGCAAAAGTGTTAAGAAACAGGAAAATTTCATTAGAAATAAAGAAATGGTTACTGGACTGTTATATAATATGGCAGTGAATGCTGGACAATCTCCTCAAAGATGAAAAAGAAACCTGAAGCAACAGCAATATGATTCTACAGAATGATGTTGTGAATATTATGGATTAAACATGCGAGTAATAACAAAATTTTAGAGAAAATGGAAATGAAAAAGACACTTCTAGATAGAATCAGAAAGAGATAATTGAAATTTTTACGTAATGATGAAAGAGAGTAATCTGGATACTCAAAGATTAGAGGCAAGGGGGACAGCTGAAAACAAAGCATAAGATACCTGGCAGGCTTGCATAAATGGATGTCAAGAAAATTTAGGGGAAGTAACTATAAGACAAAATTTATTAAGAGTTACAAAGGACAGGAAATTGTAGCAATCTGTGATTGCCAATGTCTTGAAGGAATATGGTGCATAGAAGAAGCAGTAGATTTATTCATGTATCTCCATAGACAAATAACTTATTTAACAACAGAGTCAGTCTTCACCACATACTGTTATCTGGAAAACTAATCTCATATGTTAAATCCGCAGAAGGAGACTTGGTACTCTGTTTAGTTACAGTTGTTCAATCCAGGATCTGTATTTATGCTTTACTAATTTCTCTTAGTCAGTTTTTGTATCAGGTGCCTGGTCAAGCCTTTTCACTTTGGACAAGAAATTTCTGTCCCTAATCCCTCCTTTTGGATATTTTATCTACTCTTATATCATAAACTGTGACTACTCTAATGAATTTGTTTCTCAACCAACCCCATACATCTATAACTTTGTGCCTGAAAGTTCTTCCTCTATATACTGTGTCCTTTCATGATACGAGTGATCATGGTTCTCCACAATTTCCTATCTGTTGTAGCTTTTAGCAATGTTTGTCTTTTTTTTCTATCCCAAACTTTCTCTGTTCTGTTATCATTTACACAAACTCTCTAGGTAGGTTACTCATGTCTCTCTGTCTTTTTTGACTTCAATCTGTCCTGTGTCTCATTTCCTTGTTATGCCTCTTAGAAATTTTAACTGTCTCTTTCTGATTCTACTCATAAGCATCCTTTTTGTTGCCATTTTCCTTAAAACTTCCTTATTACTTACATGTTCCATCTATGGTATTCTCAGAATCCTTTTGTTGGTCCAAGCTTCCTCTTCATCTGTAAAGAAATTGTCCCACATTCACTTATAGATAGGAGAAATGATCGTTTTTGACATTGTAGTTCAGCACTTGTTTCTTTGTTTCTAATGACATTTTCCTATGTCTTACTTATTATGTCTGTCTTTAGGAAGCCATCTTTTTACTCTTCCAATGCATCTTTGGATTAGAGCCACATTTTATGTCCTCTGTTAAAACACCTCCCAGATCTTCAGATTTTTGTACTTGCTTCATTTTGACATCTCCAGTTCATCGCTTGCATCCTGAACTGATGATTTTGCTGGTAATCCTGCATACTGTCTTACTTATTATATCATATCTTATTGACCATTAGTCCTTTCTTCTTGCTTTCCTTTACTACTTTTTCTTGATGTTTTTGCAGTTTTCTTTCTGTATCTGACACCAATTCAGTGCATCTTTTATGTTGTTAAGATTGTGTCTGTAATAAACCCTGGTAGGACATCTACTTTGCTTAGGAATGCCTTGCTGTAGAGTTTGAATAAATCTGGTGAGAAGATACACCCTTATCATACATCCCTTAAAGTAGATGTCAGTAGACTGCTTTCTACAAAGAAATATTAAGGAAGCTAATTTCATATAGCATAAATATTGTAGAGTTCTTGCTTGTGGGCTTCTAATAAGAATAATCTAAATTTGGCAAATAGACACACACCTAAATTTGGCAAATACTCACACTTACATGCATGCATGTTCACACATACACCTACATTTGGCAAATTCACATATTCACACACACACACACACACACACACACACACACACACACACACACACCTAAATCTGGCAAGTACACATCTTGCATGCACACACACCTAAATTTGGCAAATATGCATATATATATACACCCACACCTAAATTTATATGCATCCACACCGTGCACATATATACACACGCAGACTGACAGACATTTAGCATATGCACACACAATGTGCACAGACATTTTACAAATGCTTGCCCTCACACATATACACAAAACTAAATTTGGCAAATGCACATATATGCATGTACATATGCATGTACACACTTTAATTTGGCAAATATACTCGCAGCCACCAACACATGCATCTAAATTTGGCAAATATACAAACACACACTTGCAGCCACACACACCTAATAATTGGTAAATGCACGCACACATACATATACATATTTGATTGATTTGTTTTTTCTTTTATATCTTATCAATCCTTGTAGTACTAAATTTTGCTTTCTAAGTGACTGTGCTAACAAGCACTAAGTTACTAATCTGATGGACTCTATTTGGTGTAAATTTAAATTTTTATGGAAAATATCACAAGAACTTTTAAGTAGCACCTTGCACGAATAGATAGATATGAACAGTAAGAGACAAATATGAACATAGTGATCTCAAGAAAAAATTGGATAGATAGATAGATAGATAGATAGATAGATAGGTAGATAGATAGATAGATAGATTGCATTGTGCATGAAGCTAAGAGTCAGGTAAAAAAGCAATGTATTCATTATTAACATAAATTATAGCTCTGTTATACATCAGGATTCATTTTATAAGCATTAGCACTTAGTGCCCAATATTATATATATATATATATATATATATATATATATATATATAGAAAAATATAGTTTTAAGGTGTGCTATATTTATGGGATCAAGTGCTCAATATCAGAGATAGAGCATATGTAAATATAAATATAAAAGTGAACAGTGAAGTCAACATTCAGTGGCGACAGGCTGTTTCATGCTGGATGCAATCATCAGCTGACCTGATGATTGTGTCCAGCATGAAACAGCCTATTGCCTCTGAGTGTTGACTTCAATGTTCACTTTTATATATATATATATATATATATATGTATGTATGTATGTATATATATCCAAATGAGAGAAAGATCAAATTGAGTAAAATTCACTGTTTGTAGCATTTCCTTTAAAAAAAAGTGCTCAATAGAAAGTAGGGCAATATATTATTATTAATTTTTATTATAAGAGATTATAAGAAAAACATGTTGAAATCACTACACAAAAGCTTTCATTTTTCAATATTTTGATTGTACTTCTTCAGGTGATGATAAGTAACTGGTGATTTCAACATGTTTTATCATAATCTTATTTATATATATATATATATATATATATATATATATATATATATATATATATATATATATATATATTGTTTTTTTTTGTTATGTTTTCTTGTATAAGTACAAGTATTTTTATTTATTCTGTATTTAATGAATGTAGAAATTGTTGAAAGTATTCTTGGTTGTTAACATTTTCAGCTGAACTGTTAGCCTATTGCAAAGACTGCTTTTTGTTATACTGCTGTAATAAATAATTTGGAACTGTTATTGTAGATGGTGTACAAATTTGGTGAAAAAGGTGCATAGCTTAGTATAATGAATTTTCATTAATTTAGGGGAAGAAATTAAATGTTTTATTATTTAACATACAAAATACTCCCATTATTTTAAAAATAATTTAATGATTAAAATAACAAATACTTATTTAATAAAAATGCAACATTGTTTTTTGCATATCTTTTCTTTAAGTTTTTTTTTATTTCAATGATTGGTTTGTGAAATTGAATGAAACAAAGTTTGTAAATCTCAACAAAAATCGTTAGCGATAACTTCGACAATACTAAATACTGTGAGGATTACAACATGTTGCAAAAAATTCTAGTACTCGAAAAATAACAACAATTATTGAACTTGGGAAAATTATTTTTCTGGAAAATTTTTTAAGAGAAAGATTTTATAAATTTCAACAGGTAGCAGAACTGGCTGCTCAGTCAATGGATGTCAAATGTTTCCTTACAAGGAAACAGATAATATTACTATTACCATTAGAGATGTGGAGAACAGATACTACATGAACTATTTGCTCATCCCCCTCCCCACTACAGTGACATGATATGGTACAAAAGGTGTTTAAAGAGGGTATGCCAAATCCCAAAAGTGCCAAGTACCAAAATTTGCCAGGTCCCAATATTGTACTGGTATTGATATTCCATTGACCATCCTTTTTGGTGCAATGAGGGAGGTGGTGCCACAAGATTGGAATCACCAGGGCCAGGAATCACTCATTTATTTGTTGTGTTCTGTCTGAAAACAGAAACAAGATAAAATGTAGTGTGCCTGAAGGCAGATACTACACTTTGATCTAAGCCTAATGGCCAAGGTGTGAAGAAAAGTGTAACTCAAATAACACCGGCTGCTCAGTCAATGAATGTCGAACAATTTCTTATAAGAAAACAGCTAATGTTACCATGGCATCAAACTTATAAAGAATTAAGAGTTAACCTACATTTTCTGGGTTTTGGTGCTATCCACCAGCAATACACTTTTGGGAAAAAAAATATATATTACCAGCAATACATATTTTTTGGAAAAAAAAAATTTATCAGCTATACATTTTTGGAAAAAAAATATTACCAGCAATATATTTTTTGAAAAAAATATTACCAGCAATACATTTTTTGAAAAAGTATTACCATCTATACATTTTTTGAAAAAAATATTACCTGCAATACATTTTTTGAAAAAAATATTACCAGCAATATATTTTTTGAAAAAAATATTACCAGCAATACATTTTTTGAAAAAGTATTACCATCTATACATTTTTTGAAAAAAATATTACCTGCAATACATTTTTTGAAAAAAATATTACCAGCTATACATTTTTTGAAAAAAATATTACCAGCTATACATTTTTTGAAAAAAATATTACCAGCTATACGTTTTGAAAAAAATATTACCAGCTATACATTTTTTGAAAAAAAATATTACCAGCAATAAAAATTTTGTCAGCATTATATAACCCATTGAGGTTGATATACCGTAAAACAAACCAAACCAAACCAAAGATAATAAAGAAAGTGAGAAGAAAAGACTAAAATCAGTTGTAAGAAGACGTTACGTACGGTTATCATCAAAAAGAAGAATCCAACATGTGAATTACTAAATGGAATTACTAATTGGAATTACTAATTGGAAACACTAAAATCAAGCAAGTAGAAACATATATGAAAGAAATGTTTTATCTGAGGAGGGAAAATGTGGTACCAAATCTTAAGTAGCAATGGAATGGTGAAAAATGCTTTCCAAAAACTAAGTAAAATATTAAGAAACAGAAATATTTCATTAGGAACAATGAAAAGTGTGCTGAACTGCTATGCAATATTGGTCCTCCTATATCGCAGCAAATGTTGGGCAATTTCCTCACTGATGAAGAAGAGACTTAAGGCAACAGAGATGAGGTTCTGTAGAATGATACTGAGAATACCATGTGAGTAACGAGGAAATTTTAAGAAAAATGGAAACAAAAAGGACACTTCAAATCAGAAAGAATTAGTTGTAATTTTTCAGGCACCTCATGAGGAAAGAAGGCTTGAAGAACTTGACACACACAGGACATATTGAAAGCAAGAGGAACAGAACAAACCAGCACATAACCTACTGAAGAAGTTTGTGTAAATGGTTGGCAGAATGGAGATAGGGGAGTTAGCAAAAAAGGACAAAATTTACCAACAGCTACAAAGGACAGGAAGTTGTCGAGAGCCATAACCCACATCCTGAAGAGACCAAGTACATAGAAGTGGACAAACTTAACACAGTACTACTCCTCAGTCTTTTGAACAGTAGTAGAAGTTTATCCCTTAGTTTCCTGTTCAGGATTGGGTTTCCAGTTCTTTCGAATGTTTTTTCATTCCATTTCATTCCCAGTAACCCCTTGTGTATTTGTGGCATCATCGCCGTGAATTGGTTGAAAAAAGTGTCGTTAATTTTTATCACATGGGTAAACTAGTTTTAACATATGATTCTCATTGTATAAAATTGGGCTTGGTTTTCTATTGTTATTAACTAATAACCTGATACTCCTGGGATTAATAAATTTTGATTTAATAATTGGAAAAATATATTTAAAGACTCATATATGAATCAATTGCTGCCCTCTTTGGGCTAGACCTACCCAAACCTTACTTTTCAACCTTGACAGAGTTCAAAAACATTGACATGACTTTGTGGGCAATGGATTTTTTCAACTCTCCAACCCCTTTTCCATGAACAAAATGCTACTCTATAGCTATTTCCATGGCAAATGTTCAGATGAATTCCATTCCTTAGTCCCACCAGTTCTGACATTCACAGATAAAACCTGCCATGCCATATACACAGGTTCAAATAATCCCCATTCCTTTTGTATACCAATGAAAAGAAGGAATTTCTGCTTGAGAACTGCTACTATTTGGAATAGACTCCCAAAAGAATGCTTCCCCAGTCATTAGAATCTTAAGCTCTTCAAGTCTGGGGTCAAGAGTTATCTATCCAACAACCATAATTGCCATTTATTTTCTTTTCTGTCTATATTTCCGAAATGAGGTATTGTAACTATTTATATTGTTTGAACTATTCTCATCATTTTTATTGTCATATTCACAGCATTTCTCATGGCTCAGTGGATAAAATCAGTTGAATAATCCAGACCCAAAGAGTTCAATACCTGGCCACAACAGAGGTTAATAAAAACTTAGAGAGTTGAGTAACTAAAAGGGAGATAACTGAAACTGGGATATCTAGAAAAAAAGGCATGGCACGTGGAACTAGAACAATATACCCCGGTTGACGAAATAAAGTGCTCGGTTGGAAATTCCAACGTATATCACCTGAAGAAGGTCGGAGCGTACAATGTCCAAAATGTTGTGAATATGACAATAAAGATGAGAACAATAGCCAAGATGTAAATAGTGTAAATGCTTTCTTCTCTTACATCTATACATTTACCACATTCAGTAACCCTCTACCTTGTGTGGCTCTTGGGTCTTGTATTAGGTGAAACTTTATTAGAAAAAAATTAAGGACTTAACAATGTATGACATTATTTTTTATGGTGTTTGTAACTTCTGCTGGATATAAAATGAGGGATAGCTATTCTATTGTTATTAAGTAATAAACTGATCCCCCTATCAAAAATCAATAGATTTTGATATAATAATTGGAAAAATATATTTAAAACTCATATGAAAATCTTTTAATAATAGTAAAGCCTTAACAAAATATGCTGTTATTTTTTATGATATTAGCATAAATGTAAATTAGTGCTGAAATAATTTGGGCCTTGAGGCAGACTAAACAAATCTTAGTAAATAAATAATGTTCGAAAAACAGAATTCTAGAGGAATTCTTATTTACCATATTTTCCAGCTTACAAGATACACTTTTTTTTCCTAAAAAAATACCCTGAAAAATATGTGTCTCTCTTCCAAGACAAATGTACAGCAATGGTCAGGCTCAAGTAAGCTTGGATGGTCAGCTAATTGGCTTGACTGATAGGGACATGGATATGTATGTCAAGTCATTACACTATCTATAATTCAGTCTTTTATATGATGTAACCTCCGTAATTAGCTGTTACAAGTATTTCTAAGACTATAAACCTTCCTGGAGTTGA